AGTCAAAGTGTAGTAACTTAAAACTGTAGAAGATACAATACAAGATCGTTTTGATCTGTTTAACATTTTTTGGCTTCATAACTGCGTTTGTGTTTTTATAGTTTTTGATTTTGATTTTTACTATAATAATCAAATGTGGACAATCGTGATAAAAAATAACGAGTAGGTGTGTCCAAACTTTTGACTGGTAGGTAATGTAACTTACTACAAGTCCAAAGTCCATGCATAATTACAGAATGAATCGAGTATGCCATGAATGTTTCCTCTGTTACGAAAAGGTTAATGCCTCCCTTGGTGAACCTCAGCATACTCCCTCTATGCATTCATGTAGTCTATAGCATCAATGCAGACCATCTTTTCAGATTTGTTTGGCAAGTGAAGTAGGTTACGAAACACCCGGGCAGTACTGAGCTGGTCAAATCTTTTGATATTTAAACAGACCATCAAAAGTGGGTTGGTGATTATTAGTGAGATGTACAGTGACTGTTAGCCTACTACAGTAACCCCTGTTTGTTGTGCTCTGTTTGACCCTTTGCAACCAACAGTAGAGTCTTTGTGAATGACAGTGTGAAGGATGCATGGGAAATAGGGAAAATTGAGAACAAAATTTCTTACTCATTTATGACTTACAAGACCCTCCCTTAACCCGCAACACACATTCTACCACAAAATGGTACGTACCACAATAGGGGTTGCACAAGCTCTTGCATTAGATAATGCATGAAGTTTACATCAAATGATTTGAACTCCATCAAAAGTCTCTGAAATTACAGATTTTACAGTTCAAAGCAATTCTATGCATTGCAGGGAATGTTTGCTGCCTTCGTTAGACAGGGTGTTTCTGTCCTTGGCAGACGAGTGTAAGGCTCCTCTCCTATCTTTTCACTTTCAGACTGTCTCTAGGTGAACTTCAGCCTCCAGAATGTGGCCGCTCCCCTCTCCTTCCTCAAACTCGTTAACCAGCCGCTGCCACCCGGGGAGAAAGCAGTGAGCCACCAGTGATTCAGTTCTAACTCAACCCCTTCTCTTACATAATCCAGGGCACACGTTAAGATGGTGTTAGTTCAGGTCCATGAACCAGCTTTTGTGAATGTGCTGCAGAGTGTGGAGATTGGGCTTCAGCTATTCTGTGCCAAATCTAAAAAATGCTGCCTTTACAGGTAAACCAAGGTAGGAAGGCATCAAAGCAGGTTCAAATGATTGCATAACATCATGTCTCCAAAGACGCCTTCATTCTTGAGGGCAGTGGAGATGTAAAGATTTGCTACCCAACTTGAGCCCCATGTAACCCAGAAAACCATTGGATTGGATTCATTTTACTTTGAATTATATATATATATATATATATATATATAT